ATTAACTGGAAAGAGCACACGTATTATTCTCGCGCCCCCCCCCCCCCACTCTCCGCCAAACGTCTCGTTTCTTATACTTCGATGAAGTAAGCACACGAAGGATCTTTATCTCTCTCTCTCTCTCTCTCTCTCTCTCTCATGCGCGCGCTCTCTCTCCCTCGCTACAAATACTTCGATGAAGTAGGCACACGTAGGATCTTCATATCCTTCGCTCTCGTGCTCTCTCTCTCTCTCTCTTTCTTTCTCTCTCTCTCTCTCTCTCTCTCTCTCTCTCTCTCTCTCTCGCACGCGCGCGCTCTCTCTCCATCTCCCAACACATCCATGAAGTAAGCACATGTAGAAGACATGAGATCTCGAGGCATGGGGGGGGGCGTGGGGGTGGGGGAGGGGGCGGAGGGAGTGAAACTGGAAAGTCGTTCGAGGCAGCTTTAAAGAAAGAAAGAAAGAGAGAGAGAGAGAGAGATAGAGAGAGAGAGAGAGAGAGAGAGAGAGAGAGAGAGAGAGAGAGAGAGAGAAAGAGGGGTGGGGGAGCGAGTGAGAGAAACAGAAGGCGCGAGAAAGACTGGGACAGAGAGAGAGAGAGAGAGAGAGAGAGAGAGAGAGAGACAGAAAGAAAGAGACACAGTAGGAGAAAGGAAAAAAGAGAGACAGAGAGCGATAAGAAGGAAGGGGAGGAATACGAACACTAGAAAGTACTCGTTTGAAAAAAGAAACCACAGTTAATTTATAATGCTTCCCTACAATCAATCAATCAACCAATCAATCACTCAATCAACCAACCAACCAACCAAATAACAATTAATCAATAAATTCAAATAATGAATCAAATAACCTATCAATCGATCGATACGTCGACCAGTTGACCAATCAACAAATCAATTAATAGGCTTTTAATCAATCACTCAATAGAACGATCAGTCAGTCACTATCATTAATCAAAACTAATATTCACCCCCCCCCCCCTTTTTTTTTTAAACCCCGACAGAAGCCAATTTGGATCAAGCCACTACTTCATTGATGTCCACATGACCTGGGTCAAGTTGTGTGTCAGTTTTCCTCGTTCCCTTCCTTCTGCTGCTCACCTTCAACGCGTTGCTCTTGAGGGTCCTATGGCGGAGTAACAAGCTACTTGCCGCCATGCACCAGGTTAGTTTTAGGGGACTGTAACACTTGTTTCGTTGTAGTTATCACAACTGTCTCGCTGTAGTTATCACAACTGTCTCTCTGTATTTATCACATCTGTATCGCTGTATTTATCACATCTGTCTCACTGTAGTAATCACATCTGCCTTGTTGTGGTTTTCACACCTGTCTCAGTGTAGTTATCACATCTGTCTCGCTGTAGTTATCACATCTGTCTGGCTGTATTTATCACATCTGTCTCACTGTAGTAATCACATCTGCCTTGTTGTGGTTTTCACACCTGTCTAAGTGTAGTTATCACATCTGTCTCGCTGTAGATACCACATCGGTCTCGCTGTATTTATCACATCTGTCTCATTGTAGTAATCACATCTGCCTCGTTGTAGTTACCACTCCCCCCCCCCCCCCCCCCACACACACACACGTCTTGTTGTCACAACTCTCTTATTGTAGTTAACATAGCATGTCTCACCGTAGTGATCACATCTGCGTCGTTGTGGTTTTCACACCTGTCTCAGTGTAATTATCACACTTGTCTTGTTATAGTTAACAAACTTCTCTGATTGTAGTGTCGGCTTCTGTGCCTTGGGCGTTGTGAACGCACTTTGTAAAGGTACCCATCTGAGGGCTTTGCACCTTGTGTTGGTTTCGACAGTTGCATCGAGAAGCCGACCATCCAGAAAGCAATAGCAAACTACTGGACGTAAATGTGCCTAGAAAAACCACAACAGCGAGTTGCGGGTGGTTCTGCAACGTCCTGTAAAGGACTTTTGTGTGTAACCTATTGTACTTATCACACCTGCCTCGTTGTATTTATCACACCTGTTTCATTGTAGTTATCCTGTACCAAAGCCTCTCCAACACGTCCAAGCGACAGATTTTCTCTAGCTGTCCATCTGACGAATCGACCTCATTCCTCACAGAACCGTATCTGTAAAGCCTACTACGTGATAAATATCGCCACGAAACGTCCAGTTGGCGAATATCTTCAAGACATCCAAGTTAAGAGATGTCTTAGCCAGCAGAAGCAACGATTATCTTCAAAATTCTTAAGGAATTGGACTTTTCAACCAGCCCAAGTAAAAAGTAAAGGACCCTTTTCCACGCCTTTCAAGCTTATTGGACTTGTCAACCCGCTCAAGTGACAGACCTATTTAAGACGTCCAAGCGATTGACTTTTCAACCCAATCAAGTAACAGATCTAATCAAACCGTCCAAAAGCTGTATCTCCCACATCGCCCCAGTGACCTGTCTCAAGCCATGCAGGCGACGGAACTCCTCAAACTTCCCGTGAAATTAGCAAAGCCACTAATAAAAGATTATTCATCACATGTAAGAATATGTCATCCAATAGTACAGATCCTCGCTAGGCCACTTTTTTTTAAGCAATGTTAATTATTGAGCTGGGTTCGTGGGAACAAAATGACATGGACTGTGTTGGGGAAAGGTGCAAATCGGGAAGGGAATGAGAATGAAGGAAGACATGATTGCAGAAAGGATGAGAGCTGAGCGTCCGAGAAGAAATAGACTAAATACTTATAATAGAAACAACGGCCCTTTTGTTACCGCAAGCGGTTCTTGCTAGTCACAGTCTCCACTGTCACAAGGTATCAGTCCCATGCTTGCTTGTCACAGTCTCTACTGTCACAAGGTGTCAGTCCCATGCTTGCTAGTCACAGTCTCCACTGTCACAAGGTGTCAGTCCAATGTTTGCTTGTCACAGTCTCCACTGTCACAAGGTGTCAGTCCCATGCTTGCTAGTCACAGTCTCCACTGTCACAAGGTGTCAGTCCCATGCTTGCTAGTCACAATGCTTCTCCAGGTGTCAGTCCCATGCTTGCTAGTCACAGTCTCTACTGTCACAAGGTGTCAAGGTAGTCAGTACTGTCCAAGGTGTGCATGCTTGCTAGTAGTCTCACAGTCTCCATGCTTGCTAGTCACAGTCTCTACTGTCACAATGTCAGTCCATGCTTGCTAGTCACAGTGTCAGTCAGTCCATGCTTGCTGTCACAAGTCACTAGTCACTCCACTGTCACAAGGTGTCAGTCCCATGCTTGCTAGTCACAGTCTCTACTGTCACAAGGTGTCAGTCCCATGCTTGCTAGTCACAGTCTCTACTGTCACAAGGTGTCAGTCCCATGCTTGCTAGTCACAGTCTCCACTGTCACAAGGTGTCAGTCCCATGCTTGCTAGTCACAGTCTCCACTGTCACAAGGTGTCAGTCCCATGCTTGCTAGTCACAGTCTCTACTGTCACAAGGTGTCAGTCCCATGCTTGCTTGCTCCAGTCACAATCTCAACTGTCACAAGTCCCATGCTTGCTAGTCACAGTCTCTACTGTCACAAGGCGTCCCATGCTTTGCTACTGTCACAAGTTGTTCAGTCCCATGCAGTCTCCACTGTCACAAGGTGTCAGTCACAAGGTCACAAGGTGTCAGTCCCATGCTTGCTTGTCACAGTCTCCACTGTCACAATGTGTCAGTCCCATGCTTGCTTGTCACAGTCTCCACTGTCACAAGGTGTCAGTCCTATGCTTGCTCTTGGCACAATTTAACACTATTGTCTGGAAACACGGAAAAATGAAAACAAGAAAACGAGGAAAGAAAGGAAAAGACAAGTGTTTTGTGACGATCATTATGTTGATTTCTCGCACGGTTCATAACATCTCAGGCAGTACTGCATTGAGGGGTCATCTAAATAATGAGTAAACTTCATCTTAGGGCTTCCCTTTCCATATTTTTTTTTACCCACACATGCCATTTTCTTTAAACATATGGATTTTATCATATAATTTTTGTTATTTTGCACATTCTTTACTATTGTATTGTTTACATTTGGGGGAACTTAATACAACCGAAGAAGAAGAAGAAGAAGTAGAAGAAGAAGAAGAAGAAGAAGAAGAAGAAGAAGAAGAAGAAGAAGAAGAAGAAGAAGAAGAAGAAGAAGAAGAAGAAGAAGAAGAAGAAGAAGAAGAAGAAGAAGAAGAAAAAGAAGAAGAAGAAGTAGCAGAGAAGAAGAAGAATAAGAAAAAAGAAGAAGAAGAAGAAGAAGAAGAAGAAGAAGAAGAAGAAGAAGAAGAAGAAGAAGAAGAAGAAGAAGAAGAAGAAGAAGAAGAAGAAGAAGAAGAAGAAGAAGAAGAAGAAGAAGAAGAAGAAGAAGAAAAGAAGAGGGAAGAAGGAGGAAGAAAAATTGCAAGAGAGCAAAAAATGAAATAGGGAAAGAAAATAATGAAAGAAAGAAAACGAGAACTCAACTGCTGAGTCACAATACATGATCTACTTTAACACAGCTAGGATTTGTCTGGGTCAAATATTGTGACAGCATTTGAGGTCTCCCTCTCTGCGACTAATGCCAAAAGTGTCTGACATAATGCTTCCATGTTGCAGCAACATCCACAGAGGCGGGACCAGCATGAGAAGAGACTGACAGTCATGGTGCTGTCAATGACAGCAATCTTCTTCTTATGTGAGCTGATGTCAGCGATTGCCTTTATCCTCACCTCTGGTCTCAACAGACACTCGGAATGTTCCCACCATTGCGTCAGGTAGAGTACAGATAGTGTGTTCCTATCTTTGCGTCAGGTAGAGTACAAATAGTGTGTTCCTATCATTACGTCAGGTAGAGTACTGATAGTGTGTTCCCACCGGCCAGGTAGAGTACACATGCGTCAGGTAGAGTACACATAGTGTACAAATAGTGAGTTCCCACCATTGCGTCAGGTAGAGTACAAATAGTGTGTTCCCACCATTGCGTTAGGTAGAGTACAGGTAGATAGTGTGTGTTTCCCACCATTGTATCAGGTAGAGTACAGATAGTGTGTTCCTATCATTGCGTCATGTAGAGTACAAATAGTGTGTTCCCACCAGGAAACGAAAAATTTATGTACTTTCAACACTTTAAATATTCACAATTTGAAGACAATACAAATGGCTAGGAGAAAGAAAAAGGAGAAAGAAAAAAGGGGAAAAAAGGGGGGGGGGGGATGTAACAGCGTGGACTAACGCCGGCCGACTTCACTTCCCCTATTTCCTGGTAACCGTTTCATTAAGGCGTGTCCCAGCAACCAGCCAAGCGTAGTTGTTTTTTATGCTTAGTGAGTGTCGAGATCGTGGCAAGGAGTGGAGACGGGGTGGATCTGGAACTGCTAGCAAAGCACTGAACGTGTGATTGTCATCATGTACACACGGGTCACAGAAGGCACGTAAGCTACCTGAGGTAAGGAATAGTGAGCTCGGGTTGTGAACCGGTGAGGGTTAGTCGTCGACCAGACGTCCTAGCAGACGGCTGGACAACCGCAATGTGACCATGCTGCATGAATAGTGGTTTTAGTTATTGAGCTAGATAGGAGTTAGATAATATAGTGAGTCCCTTAGAATGATGTCTAGTAATGATGGGATAACAGAGGCAATAGTAACAGAGCTCACCATGTTGTATCTACATCAGACTTGCTGGTGTGAATTGTGACCACATTCTGATACAGTTTGTTCTTGTTGTCTGAACCTGACTGCAGTGTTAATGTGCTTGGGGCTCTCCTTCGATCTCTCCCCCCCCCCCCTTCCCCCATATTGCCGCTTTCACAATGCCGCTTTCATTGATTAACTAAGCTGTCAGTGACAATTTACAAGTTTAGTTACTTGTTATAAAACTAAGAATACTTTCACTCCTATGTATTAGTTACCACAGACTGAATGACTGAAGGATGCAAAACATGAAATGTATTTAAATGTTTACTGTTCTGTACTACATTTTGTGGAGTAAAATGTCAGCGTACATTTGACATTATGAATGTTTTCTTTTTAGATCTATTTTATACACGAAAGTGGAAAAATGGGCCTCAGTTTGAATAGTGGGAAGACAGAAGTAATGGTGGTATGAAAGAAAATAATTTACTCCTAAATGTGTAATAAAAGTCAATAGTTTTATTTTGGGACCAGCAAGGCAATTTAAGTATCTGGGCACATGGATAGCATCAGATGGAAGATGCATTACTGAAACAGAAACAGAATAGGACAGGCACAAACTCATTTTATAAAATAAAGAACAAATTATAGAAAATGTCTTTGTCACTGAAGGGTAGAAAAATAATTCTAGCTTGCTACATACATCCAAATTTAACAAATGGCTGTAAGTCCTGGACAATCGGTAGGTAGGCCAAACAATTTCTTGATGCCTCAGAGATGTGGTATTACAGAACAATGCTTAAAATATCCTGCATAGTGAACGAACATCGAACTGGGGCGAGCGGTGCTAACTACAAGAAGACTGGTGAACGAACATCGAACTGGGGCCAGCGGTGCTAACTACAAGAAGACTGGTGAACGAACATCGAACTGGGGCCAGCGGTTCTCACTACAAGAAGACTGGTGAACGAACATCGAACTGAGGCGAGCGGTGCTTACTACAAGAAGACTGGTGAACGAACGTCGAACTGGGGCGAGCGGTGCTCTCACTACAAGAAGACTGGTGAACAAACGTCGAACTGGGGCCAGCGGTGCTAACTACAAGAAGACTGGTGAACGAACATCGAACTAGGGCGAGCGGTGCTAACTACAAGAAGACTGGTAAACGAACATCGAACTGGGGCGAGCGGTGCTCTCACTACAAGAAGACTGGTGAACGAACGTCGAACTGGGGCCAGCGGTGCTAACTACAAGAAGGCTGGTGAACAAACATCGAACTAGGGCGAGCGGTGCTTACTACAAGAAGACTGGTGAACGAACATCGAACTGGGGCCAGCGGTGCTCTCACTACAAGAAGACTAGTGAACAAACATCGAACTGGGGCCAGCGGTGCTAACTACAAGAAGGCTGGTGAACAAACATCGAACTAGGGCGAGCGGTGCTTACTACAAGAAGACTGGTGAACGAACATCGAACTGGGGCGAGCGGTGCTCTCACTACAAGAAGACTAGTGAACAAACATCGAACTGGGGCGAGCGGTGCTCACTACAAGAAGACTGGTGAACGAGCATCAGACTGGGACGAGCGGTGCTCTCACTACAAGAAGACTGGTGAACGAGCGTCAGACTGGGCGAACGGTGCTCACTACAAGAAGACTGGTAAACGAACATCAGACTGGGGCGAGCGGTGCTAACTACAAGAAGACTGGTGAACGAACATCGAACTGGGGCGAGCGGTGCTCTCACTACAAGAAGACTAGTGAACAAACATCGAACTGGGGCGAGCGGTGCTTACTACAAAAAGACTGGTGAACGAGCATCAGACTGGGGCGAGCGGTGCTCTCACTACAAGAAGACTGGTGAACGAGCATCAGACTGGGGCGAACGGTGCTCTCACTACAAGAAGACTGGTGAACGAACATCAGACTGGGGCGAGCGGTGCTAACTACAATAAGACTGGTGAACGAACATCGAACTAGGGCGAGCGGTGCTCTCACTACAAGAAGACTGGTGAACGAACATCAGACTGGGGCGAGCGGTGCTCACTACAAGAAGACTGGTGAACGAAAATCGAACTGGGGCCAGCGGTGCTCTCACTACAAGAAGACTGGTGAACGAACGTCGAACTGGGGCCACCGGTGCTCTCACTACAAGAAGACTGGTGAACGAACATCGAACTGGGGCGAGCGGTGCTCTCACTACAAGAAGACTGGTGAACGAACGTCGAACTGGGGCCATCGGTGCTCTCACTACAAGAAGACTGGTGAACGAACATCGAACTGGGGCGAGCGGTGCTCACTACAAGAAGACTGGTGAACGAACATCGAACTGGGGCGAGCGGTGCTCTCACTACAAGAAGACTGGTGAACAAACATCGAACTGGGGCGAGCGGTGCTCACTACAAGAAGACTGGTGAACGAGCATCAGACTGGGGCGAGCGGTGCTCTCACTACAAGAAGACTGGTGAACGAGCATCAGACTGGGGCGAACGGTGCTCACTACAAGAAGACTGGTGAACGAACATCAGACTGGGGCGAGCGGTGATCACTACAAGAAGACTGGTGAACGAACATCGAACTGGGGCGAGCGGTGCTCTCACTACAAGAAGACTGGTGAACGAACATCAGACTGGGGCGAGCGGTGCTCACTACAATCAGGTTGGTAAACCAGCAATGAACTGGGTCGGGCAGTGCTCACTACAAGAAGACTAGTGAATGAACATCGAACCGACGCGAGTGGTGCACAGAGATGTGGTAATACAGAACAATGCTTAAAATATACTGGAGAGCCAAAAAAAAAAAAAAACCTAGAAGTCTTGATAGAGGCGGGAGTCCGAAGACAACTCCTCACAGACATTAGAAGGAGACAGTCATCCTTTTTCGGCCATGGTATAAGATGAGGGAAAATGGAACATGTGGTGACCACTGGAGAGATATGTGGAAGGAGGGATAGAGGAAGAGAAGATTCTTGACAGCGATTGCCTTTATCCTCACCTCTGGTCTCAACAGACACTCGGAATGTTCCCACCATTGCGTCAGGTAGAGTACAGATAGTGTGTTCCTATCTTTGCGTCAGGTAGAGTACAAATAGTGTGTTCCTATCATTACGTCAGGTAGAGTACTGATAGTGTGTTCCCACCATTGCGTCAGGTAGAGTACACATAGTGTGTTCCCACCATTGCGTCAGGTAGAGTACAAATAGTGTGTTCCCACCATTGCGTTAGGTAGAGTACAGATAGTGTGTTCCCACCATTGTATCAGGTAGAGTACAGATAGTGTGTTCCTATCATTGCGTCATGTAGAGTACAAATAGTGTGTTCCCACCAGGAAACGAAAATTTATGTACTTTCAACACTTTAAATATTCACAATTTGAAGACAATAAATTGCTAGGAGAAAGAAAAAGGAGAAAGAAAAAGGGGAAAAAAAGGGGGGGGGGGAGATGTAACAGCGTGGACTAACGCCGGCCGACTTCACTTCCCCTATTTCCTGGTAACCGTTTCATTAAGGCGTGTCCCAGCAACCAGCCAAGCGTAGTTGTTTTTTATGCTTAGTGAGTGTCGAGATCGTGGCAAGGAGTGGAGACGGGGTGGATCTGGAACTGTTAGCAAAGCACTGAACGTGTAATTGTCATCATGTACACACGGGTCACAGAAGGCACGTAAGCTACCTGAGGTAAGGAATAGTGAGCTCGGGTTGTGAACCGGTGAGGGTTAGTCGTCGACCAGACGTCCTAGCAGACGGCTGGACAACCGCAATGTGACCATGCTGCATGAATAGTGGTTTTAGTTATTGAGCTAGATAGGAGTTAGATAATATAGTGAGTCCCTTAGAATGATGTCTAGTAATGATGGGCTAACAGAGGCAATAGTAACAGAGCTCACCATGTTGTATCTACATCAGACTTGCTGGTGTGAATTGTGACCACATTCTGATACAGTTTGTTCTTGTTGTCTGAACCTGACTGCAGTGTTAATGTGCTTGGGGCTCTCCTTCGATCTCTCCTCCCCCCCCCTTCTCCCATATTGCCGCTTTCACAATGCCGCTTTCATTGATTAACTAAGCTGTCAGTGACAATTTACAAGTTTAGTTACTTGTTATAAAACTAAGAATACTTTCACTCCTATGTATTAGTTACCACAGACTG